CAAACTAACAAGTACTGAACAACTTAATCAACACTTATTAATTGTAATTAATTGTAATATATTATTATATTAGATTTAGTACTGATTTACTGCCAGCAACTAAACAAGTACAATGCGGTTTTCGATTCAGGATTCCTACTTCAGGGATTCGGAACAATCCCTATATCCAATTTATTTATTTGAAACTTAGTTATTAATATGTCCCTTTGAACTTGATTTCTCTCACATTCCATCAAAAGATTTATTAAGTTATGTTACACCTGATATCACACATATTTCTTTACAAAAATAACATCCTATAGATGCGCTCTGTAACTGCTTTCATACTTTAAACAAACATAAATCAAACAGGAAATTCGAGCATTGTTCTGTAACTCATGAAAAAAGCATGCCCCAGAAAAGAACACGATTTTTTGTACTTTTTTTATGATAGAAAAAGAAAATAGTTTTTTAACAACTCTCAGTTTGTCACTACTGGCAACAAATGGATTTTTTTTCTCGTTTGCCCTTAATGGGAACGAAGCCAATGGTGACAACTGGGAACAACCGTTTGTCGAGTTGTTTCTTCTGAACCGTTATAAGTAGACAGTTAAAACATAGAATAATGTATTTGAATCGCCGCATATAATAACAAAAATTAAATAAATAATGTAGAAAAATAAGAATTTTGACGTGATTTATTTGTTTTTTCATTTATCGCAATGTTTATAGCATTTTATGCTCGACCTTAGTAATAGCTGTATTTGTTATTCTTGTACGGGACCCCTCGCCTCCGAGTCCGGTTCGTAATTGATTGGCTTTTTCCTATTTTTGTATTGTTATATACATTCAGCAAAACAACAATGTACTTACTCCAATTTCCCTGTTTTTGAAATGTGCAAAGCTAAAAAACCGATTTGAAAATCTCCTTCTTTTCGATGTCGGTTACAATGAATTGGAGATTTTTTTCAATGTGATTATGACAACATAAGCATATAATGACATTTTTAATTCTGACTCAAGAAAGTGGGATAAAAGTAAATCCATAAATCAGTTAGTTATAATCCATAACATTGGTAAATATTAAATAATATTTAAACAAAGTCTGCCGAGTTAAATCCCTAACAAATTATCCATTAAATTCGATGCGAAGATAACATAATTGCCAGGAAAAAATTAAATAGGTCAAAATCTTAAGGATGATCAAACGAAATCGCTTCTCAGTTTTCTTTAGCGCTGATAATAAATCATAGTGATTAAAGAAGGCAAGGCGCTCTCAAAGAAAAAAAAACTACTTAAGGATGTAACTGCTTGATGTTTAAATCTAAAGAAAATATAACTAGAAAAATATCCATGCGGACCAGGCAGCAGACGGGACTCAAACCCGCACCCTTTGCTATCCGGGCGAATGCGCTGACCAATTATGCTACCGCAGCCTTGATGACCGCGTCGAAATTCTTCTAGCCATTCTTAAGCTGCAAGGCATCGCCAACTCTTCGCATTGTAGGTAACCCACAATGTCAAAAGAATACTTTTACAACTATTAAACATTTGGAAGAAGAAATAGCAATTATAGTTCAAATTTATGTTAATATCAAATGTTCAAATCAACGCGGCCCCAGGGCCGCGGTAGCATAATTGGTATCCGCCCGGATAGCGAAGGGAGCGGGTTCGAGTCCCGTCTGCAGCCTGGTCCGCGTGGATTTTTTTCTGGTTATATTTTCTTTAAATAATATATAGTTGGTTCTCTTTCCTATATAAGCGGGATTTGAAATAAGTAATATTTAAATAATAAATCTTTTTCATATTTGAAATATAAGATCCCGAAAGAAATATATTTAAATTAACAAAGAGAGAGGCTAATAAAATAATATTAATTTATTCTAATGCCAACATTGCCAATTTAGTTAGTGAAATATTAAAAAGCAATTTAAGGTAATACCAGTCTTGCTATTTCAAATGAAGATTTAATTTATAAAATTCAACAGAGTTTGTAGTCCAAGATCCTGCCTCTCGATTCTACAGCCGCATCTGTTTTTTTTTTAATAAATGATTAATGATTATACAATACATTAGTGACAGGTTGCCGAAAAAAATAGACGCAAATAGCTTTCATTAAATTTTGTGGCATGCCATATTCTTTATGTAAATTGCATCCATGTATTATTCTATTAAATTTGCAATCAGCATGCAGGGGAGCGTATCGTGTATACATTTTTCAGACCTGCGAACGATTTTTTGTTCTTGAGGTTCTAGATGAACCTCAAGAACAAATTGTATGCATACTTCTGTGTTACCAAGTTCGTGATATTAAACAATATTATCATACATGTCCCAATTCCAAATAAGGTGAAGCTTGTCATAGTCACTATGAAAGTAAAAAAAACTTTCTTTTCACGTTCAATACATATTTAAAAACAAATAAATTAAATAATACGTGAATTAATATACAGACACACTCAAACACAAATATTTTGTGCTCAGTATTCAAATAATTGCCCCTGCCAAGCTCCGAATCTAAGACCTTTGGAGATGTGTTCAGAAGTGCTGTCTTTACCATAATATCAAACAAACCAAAAAAAAGTTATTTTCTTGATTGTGTGTGTTAAACCCGTTTCTACATTAAAAGGTTATGTAAAACTATACTTGAAAACACATTAGTACCACATAACCATTAACTAGGTACGTATCCCCATCACCTACACTTTTGACTTTCCTATGATGTCATGTTTTGGCTGTGTTTACCTTTGCTCAGTTCAAATAACGTTAATGTCATATCCACCACAAAATATGTTACACCACAGCTTTTACGGCACCTTCAAAGTAGGTAGGCATAAACATTAACACCTAAATGTAACACAGTTTATAACATTTAGTCCGATTTGGATCATAATTATTATCATCAAATGTTTTTATGTAACTTGTAAGATTCAGTGGAATGCCACTCTATAGACGCCTGTTGCTGCTTAGAAATCCTTAATATTTTTTTAGACCAATAACTCTTTATATAACAAATAAATATTGTAACGAAGATATTTCAGCTTTTGCCAAGAGAGTTGATTCTTAATTAAGTGTCATATATGATCAGAAACAAAATAACTTAGTTCTTTTATTTATATGATAACGAAAAAAAACAAGTTTATTATCATACTTAATTTGATAAAGCTGAAAACTTTTGATAAAACTACTTAGAGTTACATTAACACGTACCTCTATAAAAATATCCGATTGTTAAAAGTCACCGATTAAACACAGAACTATTCACGTCACCCAACAATTACTGTTCACCGTTTGATTGTACAACAGAAAGAAGAAGAAAAAACTTTTGAGTTTTCCGAGCACGGCGATCGGTAAGGCGCGCACTCCGTTTGGGCGGGCGGACGACCGTAGCAGCCCAAACGTCATGCAAAACTGAGCACACCGCCACTAGACCGCTGGTGTCGACCGAATTTCTAACTGCCACTTAAAAAACCAATCCACCATTCCGCATCTACAATACAGTCGAATATCGAGACAGTCATTTGCTTCTAAAAATGACCCGCACGTAACCTACTTTCGTTGATAAAACACTTTTTCTGTTCATTTTTCGGTGACATTGCACTTTCGCCCTTGCAATTAACTACCAACAAACAATGAGCGTGTCGCACTAAAACTTGGCTTGAATTCAAAATTAGTTTCTTGAATAGTAGTAATTCTGTGAAATAGTAGCGTAGGTAGCGTAGTCACATAGTAACGTGCATTCAAACTAGTTTGATTACTAGTGTGGAATTCGAATGAGGCCTTATTAACTGGTTTATTGAATACCTATGTAAAACTCTTAGATTTATTTTTAGAATATGTGTATTAATATAACTCCTCTCATAGGTAGTAAATAAATCTCTTTCTCTTAAAAACGCTTTGATCTCGTAAACGTAATTTTCTATTGGAACAAAATTAATAATGCGGACTGTAGTTGTGAATTTCTTATATGTTTGTTACTAGTCAGGTACGTGGATATAGTTTTCTTAAAATGTATTGAGATTTACTTAAGTACAAACTCTTAATATTTGTTTCTTTTTTGTTTCTTAGTGGTTATCTGATAGAATGCCAAAAAAATTGCTTTCATACAAACCTTATCATAAAAATAATGAACACGACGAACAATGTTCGATGCTCCGTTATAAATATAATGACAAGCAATGGCTTTTTAAATGTCGATCAGTTCGTTGAGTTTACCTTTTTTATTTATTTCTGAAAAAGGCTTGACGCCTTCCTTCGCCCCCGGGAGCGTGCGACGATGATATCTGTGGACTTTTCCCTATAATCATTTCACCCAGTTCCAGAGCTCGAAGAAAAGGTAAGGCCCAGTATAAACCAGAAAAATACTCTTGCACCTTTCACCCGCAGTCCAAAAACTGCATGTCGAGAGTGCGGATAGTGCTCTGAGAACCCGTTAGAACCTCGCCACGGTAAGTAATTGTCCGTAAGAGGACCCTCTCTCCCCAGATGTACGGTTCCACAGAGTATCAGAGTACCACCCATTACAGGAACCGTGCAATGCGAGCCCGGCGCTCCCACACCAAGAAGAGTCAGAACACTAACAGCGCAAAGACCAAGGGCTAAGAACACGCACCCTAGCAAGGCTCCAGGCAACCCATACGCCAGAGCCCAGAGCTCCAGGATTCCGTCTCCTTCTCCTGCCGCTGCTCAGAAGTCAACGGAGGCTTTTGGACCCTCACCTCCGTCTCATTGCGGCTTTGGACCGCTACTGGGTGCGGCTGGACCCGCTTATCAGGCGGGATCTTTGCCTCTGTGGAGGGCAGTCGAGCGCTGACCATTTCGCTCATGGACTCCATGAGCGAGCCTTTCAGCTGCTCTATGTCCTCTTTTGTCAATCCGGATTTGGATGGAAAAGCCTTCTGCTGTCCGTCCTCGATCAACCTTCTGAGGAAGCCACGGCATAAGTGTGGAGCCGGCATTAGAATTGATGTTGATGCTCTTTGGTTACAGAAGTGGCCATGGACTTATTAAAAGTGACAACCACCAAAGAGCAATCCAATCCAAGATCAAATGACAACTTAATCTTTTTGACGTTTATGATTTTGAGAAAGAATTTTAGATTTAAAAGGTGTTTTCAATAAGGTTTATTTTTTACATCCGTATAACAATTAAACGATGGAACTGGTAAGTACTTTTATATCCTGAATTGAAATAACGCTCTCTTTAATATACTACTTGCGGGTGCCCGAGACTTACTTTACGTGATCCAATTGATTTTCCATACAAAGTTCCACCCCAATTTTCACCCCCTTAAAGGTTGATACCTGGGTTGAAAACTATCCTATGTCCTTTCTGGGGACTCAAACTAAATATTTCTATTCAAAATTCATTCCCCAGTTTAAGCGGGAAGAGGTAACAGACAGACAGATACACTTTCGCTTTTATAATATTAGTTTGGATGAAAACTCATTAAAACAAAAACAGTATTGTGTACTGCTGTTACAAACGTAGGAGGCAGACCCATACCTAACTACATAAAAAGGACATGTTCAAGCCATAGTCCATAATCGGGTAATTAAGATAGACTAAATAGTTTCAAATCCTACTAGTATTATAAATATGAAGGTTTGTATGTTTTAAACAACTGAACGAATTTTGATGAAATTTGGTACGCACATAGTTTATGACCTAGATAGAGACAAAGGATACTCTTTATCCCGGAAAATACCAGGTTCCTCTAGAGTTCTCAAAGAACTAAAGTTAACGCAGAGGAAGTCGCGGGCGGCCGCTAGTAATAGTATAATTTAATTTGTTAGGGATGGACGGACAAACAAATATCCATCAAAATAAATATCTTTCGCATAATTTCACCTGGCTTATACTCCGGAAACAATAGTAAAAAACAACCTCTAGAATAAACAATCTCAAGAAGACTTACAGCCGAATGGTTTTATCTTGTCTTAAATAACAATACTGCATTCCCTTCCGGTTATGACTACGTCCTTCCTTTTATTCCCACAATAAGATAAACTCCTTTTGTATCTATCTCAATATTCTCAAAGATATAACTTGTTACTTACCTACCCTTATTTATTACCGAAAAAGGTTATAAAATCTCTTCAACATATCTAATTCAAGGTTAATTTATAAAATAGAATTTTAATTTTATTGTTAAGATAATAATTTATTTTATAAAAGTATTTTACGCATGTATCGAACAGTCATAGTAGGTAAGTATAATAATAAAGATTTTTGCGTATACGTAACATTTATAGCTCTGCCAAATTCAGTCAGGAGTTTATTTTTGCAATAGAGAGAATTATTTTAGTTTGCGCGAGTTTTTTTTAGCAATAGAAAGATTATTTTAGTTTGCTCAAGCTTCAACATTTTTTTTTAAATTACCGAAATTTCATCGTTCTTAATATTTAACTACAGATAAAACCTATAGAAAAAAAAATCCATATGTCAAAATCTTACACATTTACTATGTATTAGACGTGGCATTAACTTTAGTCAATTTTTAGTATCGATGAAACAACGCGGCCTTAATTTTATTATAAAACGGGCTACAAATATGTATAATATGTGAAATAGGTTCACACACAGATAGATATGGTCAAGTGGTTGACAGTGTAACAGGAGGAACAGTGTAACATTAGGAAAATTTGTGCCCTTATATTATTTGTCTATGATCTGTCTTGGCGTCTTTTATTAGTTTCATATGCCGCTTTGTGCCATCTTAAGCCGCTGTCATCAGACTTTAAATAGGCGGGTATAATACAGAGATATTCCTTGTGGAACACTGTACCATTTGTTACACTTTTTTATATTAAATATGGTGAGCAGTCAGCTCGTATATGCCATACGAGCTGATGGCTCACCTGATGGTAAACGATCACAGTCGCCCATAGACACCTGCAACACCAGGAGTATCACAAATGCGTATAGCTGTATCCTCGTAGGGTTAAATTGGACAAGATTAAGTAGTGCCCAATTTGACACTTTGCTGAGCAAAGTCTCAACTTCCGAAACAAGTTTTTTACGGCTTTCCATTACGTTTTCCTGTAAATTATTTGCGCGGCCGGTATATTAAGTATCGCCTGTGCTGTCGCCTGCATAGCAAAAAATGCCATCATTTGAAGTATATCATTGATATTAAATAATAAAATAAATATTTCCAACACTCACACCAATACGCCTAGCCCTAAAGTAACCACTGTAGGCTTGTGTAATGGGATATTAGGGTAACGGATAGAATACATATACTGATACATACATGTAAAAGTATCTTTATATAAAAAAATACATATTAAACATCCATGACTGGAGTCACACAAATCAACAAACATCTGCCCCCACCGGGATTCGAACCCGGGACCTCGAGTTGGTGACACCATGAAACCCGGCGTACATACCACTCGGCCACGGATGTCGTCTAAAATATGCAGAAGAAACAGCGTAGGTGATAGCTCACAGCCTTGTGAGCCACCCGCGTTTATGGATTTGGAGTCCGAGCATGCACCGTCAACTAAGACCTCGATGCTCCTATCCGCAAGAAAGTTTGTAACCCAAATGCACAGTTTTTCGGGAAGCCCATAAAAAAAAAGCTTCAAAAGAAGCGCTTTGTGCCAGGCCCGATCACCTTTGCCCAACAATGCGTCAACTATACTAGAAGATCACCGACCGAACGAATTTTACGGAAACCGTACTGGTGGTCGCTGATCAGCTGGTGGTCCTACACTGTCCCGCACTTGACCCTACATATAGTTTTTAAGTAAATATACTGCATAGGTACATTTTGATTGGCAAATATCAACTCTATGGACATCAATAGTAAACAAATGTAACAAAAATCCTTTGTTTCAAACCAAATAGCGCATAACAAATGAGGTGTTACGATACACAGTGACGATGGTCAGGGATTCCATGCATGATTTATTCAAATTTCCATTCGTAAACAAAGAGTTGGGAATTGAGTAGACGAGTTATCTAATATAACAAAGTTGAAATCCCTCCATCCACTTGTAATATTGTCCCAGTTGGCTTGGCACGATCACGCGTTTTGACGGCTAAGCGAGCATCGCTGAGAAAGTATAATCTTTGAAAGCTCTTGTCGCTCAGCAACAAATTATGAAGCTAGCTCTCGCCAGCAGTGTAAGTAGCCGGGGATCAACTATGAATATATGCATCTCTTTAGTTCACTCGGTACGTTTCTTGAGCGATAAAATAGCCGATAGTTATGCCTTGATCACACCTACCCGGCAAACGAGCCAGACAGTGCTCTCGGCCGAGTACTCGGTACGTATAAACATAGTGTTCGGCCGAGCGCTCGTTCACATCACTGTCTCAGCCGAGAAACATTTTACTGTCTCGTCTCGTTTATGCGGTACGTGTGATCAAAGCATTAGTCGCTTCCTCGCCGGCGGCGGTGGAACAACTGCCTAGAAGATCACATTAAAATATCACTGACTCTTGGTAGTGTTATCGACGAGTAAGGTTCCAGGCTCCACAAGGTAGGGAATGGGGTCAGGGTAGGTATTGATGCAAGCGATACTCTGGTAACGCAAGCGTCTACGGCTATGGTGGCCGCTTAGCATCAAGCGAGCTATTTGTGTGTTTGCCATAAATTTTACATTAAATAATGCACATTAAAAATGTTTTCAACGCTGCCAAGAATGGAACGCAGGATATTACGGAGATTGAGTGACAACGCCAAGTCCAATTCCAAAAGTTTTCAATCCAATTTGTACAGATTTTTTCCTTCTCTCGGTATTCGGTAATTTGACAATGTTATTGTAAATCATAACAAGGTACGCATTCTTCTCAAGATGTTCAGAAGCCGCTATTAAATTTGATTGAACGTCCCATTTTTAGGTTTTTCGCATATATCTCGGAAACTATGCATCCTAGCGACATGAGATTTGTGAAAGCTGATTAAATTTGCTACAAGTCTTATTCAGTCAAGTTTTTAGATATCTTGTATAGTTTTCGAGATATCCGCTCTTAAAAGTCTGTAATTATGGAAAAAAAAATTGATTTACATTTTTGCTCAATTTGACCGGATAACTCTTCAACAATGCCGGCCGTAGGGTTGTTGATTCCACCAGTGAGCAGCATGCAGATTTCGGATAAGCCCGCCAAAACAAGGATGGAGCTGACATTGCCAAGCTCACCAATTGGTTTGAGAAATTTCCTCCCTTCCCAGAGACCAGAGACATTATCAAGTCACCAGAAATCCAGAAAGCAGCAGCGGTCTTTTCACACCCTTTCTCCACCACCGCTCAAGTACAAAAGGCAGGTGAAACCTGCATCTTAAGGTGGTATGGAGCTCCAGCGAAAGAGATTTCCCTCAATGCCTACAGGTACAAGTCATTCTTGAAATCAGTGGCCACCATCAAGCCTGATATTTCTTGTCTTCCTCCCACCGAGGGAGCAGTAAAACAGCATTCCCAGGAAGTGGTGGCATTTTTTTTTTCCATAATTACAGACTTTCAAGAGCGGATATCTAGAAAACTATACAAGATATCAACAAACTTGACTGAATCGCTAGGATGCATAGTTTTCGAGATATATGCGAAAAACCTAAAAATAGGACCTTCAATCCCCCCCCCTTCCCCCCGGCTTAAGGGCTACGGAGGGGACTTTTGATATGTTTACCGCCTAACTAGTCCTAACAAAGTTACGAAGTCAAAAATTGTGTTCCAAGCATTTCCCTCTATACCTGTTTTTGAGTATTCGTTGCCTGGACTAATATCACAAGCCTACGGCGCTTACTTTGGGGCCAGGATATAGGCTAATTGGTGTATGCAAAAAATCCGAATTGTCCGTGCGTGAATTTCATCCCATTTGGAAAGATCCAAGTTACAATATAATAATTTACGTTCTTGAAGATGCTGCCTCAAAGTGAGACCCTAAACAAAGCGATTATAAATGATAGCATTCATAGATATCAGTTAAATTTGTTACTAAAACTCGATAACGTAATCCGACAAATACTGAAAAAAAAATCAAAGTGTGCTAGTTTAAAACATGTTTTAGGTTGCGTAATACTTTGTGGCAGATCAACAAAAAGTCGATCGCGCGTCTGCCGAAACTTCTGGTAAACAAAAATGTCTCCCATCCGTGACAGATGGCAATTTCACATGCCCAAACGAAAATAAACAAAACGCAACATGTCTAGAAAG